GACAAAGGAAAGCCTCAGACTAGGTTTTCTAGGTAAATTTGAGAAAGGGAGAGAACATATTTAGTTGAGAGGCAAGGCTTCTGAAGGGAGTACAATCCAGGCAAGAGGGATGGTCTATGCAAAAAGCAGAGAAGTGGGAGACAGTGATAGAAAGGACAGGGCACTAGACTTGCAGTCAAATAGACCTGGGTTCTTTGACCCTAGGCCTCAGTTTCCACATCTGTAAAATAAGGAGGTTGGACTCAATGACCTCTAAAATCCCTTCCAGTTTATTAATCGATGATCCCATGCCAAGGATAGAATCAAACTGCAGGTCAGGCTGGTTGGAACACAGAGAAAACAGAGAGGGGAATAAGGTAAAATAAGGCTGGAAATGTAGGTTGAAGCTTGACTGGTATAAGCCTCCCAGACTAACAAGTCTGCATTTTATTAGTGGCCCCTGATCACCCACAGGAAGGCCGTTTCTTTTTTTATTCACAGTGATACCTGGCCAACAGCAACAAGGAACAGAACAGGTTTTTCTTGAAGTATGGTCTGCTCTCAGTGACCCCATTGCTTAGCACAGTGTCGGAAATACAGTGTTTATTGTAGACAAGGCAGTGATTGGGATAATTCAAAGTGTGTGTGTGTGTGTGTGTGTGCACGCACGCACACACACACAAGCACAACTGCAGATTCCCCTTCCTAAGCTTCTTTGAACTGGGGCAAACAGTAAAATGAGTTTGTTCATTCCTTGACTACACACGAACTTATAACAGAAGGAAAGTACCTCCCAGACATGCTGGGTAGCAAGAAGGTCCAGGCTAGTGAATAAAAACCTGCTATACAATGCAAGGATCTAAGACAACTCCAAAAGATTCATAATGGAAAATGCAGTCTACATCCAGAAAAAGAACTACGGGGTCTGAATGCAGATCGAAGCATACTATTTGCCCTCCTTTTTTTTGTTTCTTCTTTCTCTTGGTTTCTCCCATTAGTTCTAATCCTTCTTTACAACATGACTAATGTGAAATGTTTAATATGAATGCATATGTAAAGTCTATATCAGATTGAATGGCGTCTTGGGGGGGGAAGAAGAGGAGAAAATTTAGAACTCAAAATCTTATGGAAGTGAATGTTGAAAACTAAAAATATATAAAGTAAAAAAATAAAACAAACCACAAAAAAAAAAACCTGCTGTAAATAATCTACAAAGTTTAGTGTCTATAAGAATACTTAGCATTTGGTTCATCATGGCTCAAAGCAAAGCCCTTCACAAGTCCTAAAGCCTAACTAAGTCTGGTGCCGTCAGAGGGGAAGCAATGTTTGCCAAACTCATATTCCACCCACCCATCCCACAGTGATCAGGGAAATCGAGGGGAAGAGGGAAGTTCCCAAATCAGAATCCAGTCATTGTGCACTGGCAGATCTGAGTCCAAGGATGCCTTACGAAGGCCACCATTGGGTCAAGGAGAACAACAATGAACAGGTACCAGAGAATCCAACAACTACATGTGATTATCCTATAACAGATAACTGTCAAATGATGCACCTGGGTTCAGAAAAAATCAGTTATCACAATATAGGATGAGGAAAGACATGGCTGGACAGCAGTTCATGAGAAAAAGGAACTGAGAAAAAGGACCTAGGAGTTTTACTGAAGTACAAACTCCAAGCTCACAGTGTCATCATAGAAGCTAAAAAGTCAGTGGGATCTAAGCCTGCACTCACAGAAGGTGTTTCCACAGCAAGGGAGGCAACAGCTTTGCCTTATTCTGCCTTGATCAGATGATATCTAGGGCATTGTGTTCAGTTCTGGATGTGACATTTTTAAAAGGCGATTGTCAAGACAGAACTGGTCCAGAGGCGGGCTACATGGATGGTGAAGGAACAAAAAGCAATCTCTATGATGATTAATTAGAAGAGCGGGGGATGTTGAGCCTTGAAAAGAAAATACTTTTTTGTTGGCAGGGGATGGATGTGATGAGAAGCATGACTCCAGTCTTCAAATACCTGAACAGTATCATGGGAAAGAGTAATTAGAACTGTTTTGTAACTTCCTCCAGACCACAGAACCAGGGGATGGGATTTAAAGGGAGGTAGATTCCAATGCAATATAAGAAGGTTTAATACATACATCGCTTCTGAAGTAGCGAGTTCTCTACTCATTACTTGATATAAGAAATAAAACTTCCCAACCTGTAGAGATGTCCAAAAGCAGAACGAGCTGCCTCAGAAATCAGCAAGTTCCACTAAACTAAAAGTCTTTAAATAAAGGCTGGAATAGCCATTTGTCAGGTATGTTGTAGAAAGTTTTCTTGTTGCGCTGTGTGTTGGACAAGATTCTTTCTGGGGTCCCTCGCAGCTCTGAGATTCTATGATTCTAGGAATGACTCTGCCTTTTGCCCTCTCCCCTTCCCCAACCCATGTAACCAAATCAGCAAAGCTTTATGAAGAGAACTTGATATAGGCAGGAAGAGCAGAAATGGATTTGTGATATAAATGTAAAAACAAACATGGTCCAAGGACTGCTAAGGTCCCTTCTGACTCTGAAGTTCCATGGTCCCAAACAAATGTGATATTGATACACCAGCTCTGCAAACTGGAAATCATGGATTAAGCTGAGGGTTAAAAAAAAATACATAAATCTAGGGGGGGGGTCTTAGGTGGATTATAGTTTAAAAACAATAGCTAATCCACACTAACCAGTCTGCCCACCATTTAGCTGCTAGGAAGAAAAAAAACGAATCAAGTCTACCTTTTTCATTACACTGGGACCACTGGCTACTGACCTTAGGGGACTAGAGATAGCCAATGGAAAAGATATGTACAATGCTGGAATCTCTAGGGGCATAGATTAGATCTGAAAGGGAGGAACCTCCAAGACAGATGGTGGTTCAAGTGAATGAGTTCCATGACAAATAAATTCTGCTAGTGACCAGGAGAACAGCATTCAAAGACAAAGAAAAGATATGAAGGGGAACTTAAGAGATCATCTAATCTAACCCGTCATTTCACAGAGAAGGAAACTGAGGAACAGAGAGGTTGAATGACCTGCTCAGGATCACATAGCTAGTGTGTCTAAGGCAGGATTTGAAAGCAAGTCATAGTGACTCCAAGCCCAATATTCTCTCTACCACATTATGCTCCTTCAAGTACAGAAGTCAACAGAAGAACAGGTGATAAGGTCCAAAGGTTGGAGGAAGCAAAAGTCCAGTCGGTCCCAGAGAAAATGCCCTATTTTTTCTGCAGCAGAATCAACCCTGTTGAGTTTTTTACTAAATTCTCAGGGGATATGGCAGTGGGATTTCTATACACAAAGCATGTGACCTTTTTTTTTTAATCCTTCATGACTTTAGATCCAAATGGACCACTTGGGAATTTTAATCTCTTCTAATCACCTAAGGATGAACATGAAATTTTTCTCCCTAGATGAAGGAAACCTGAATATTTCACAGAATATCAGAGTTGGAAGGGGGCCTTAGAGTGAGCTGGAAGGGATCTGTTAGGAGAGCTACTAAACAACCTCGTTATTTTACAGATGGGGAAACTGAGAGACAAGAAAGGTCAAGTGACTGTCCATGGCCACATTGCTAGTAAATAAAGTAGCAGAGCTGGGTTTTGAACCCAGGTCTTCTGACTCTAAATTCAGCTCTCTTTCCATTGTTCCATGGTGCCTTTAGAAAGGTAAGTCCAATACCCTCACCTTACGGATGAGTGAGCTAAGACCCAGAAGGGTTGAAATGACTTATGCCCCAAGTCCCATCAGGGCCTGGAGTCTAACCCAGGTCCCTGGGACTCCAGATCTAGTCATCTTCCCACTTCTTGCCCCTAAACAAGGGATATGAAGGAGGTAATCAAAGCAGGGCTCCAGTGCAGCTCAAACAACTCCCACAGCAAGTCAACTTTAAGCAGGATTTAGTAACTGTAGAGAGTGAGCATAAAAAGAGGAGTAAACTGAATAAGGGACGCCAAGAGACATATCCAGGTATCCCAGTCACAAAACCCTCTATTAGGTGCGTGGCTCTGAACATCCTGACCCCTAGTCCATATAGGATGCCTGCCCCACCCCCCATCCTCACCTCCAGCTGTCTTCAGCCAGAAGTGAGAGAGCTAATAATTTAAAGGTCTTCTGATAGAAGTTCCCACATCCTGCTAGGAGAATAGCAGGTGTAAGAAGTATTTCTTACACTCTTTCTTCCTTGGCTCCTCTTCTAGGGAAGATAGGAAACCATTTCACTCCAGAAACCTTTGGTCACAAAGAAGGATTGGGATTACACTGGGAAAGGGAGTGACTTCTATCAGCCCTGCAGGCTGGCACCTTCGCTGTAACTTAGAGATTTTCTTGGAATGATGAGAAACTAAATGACTTGCCTTAGGTCAGAGAGAGGCAGAATGTGTCAAAGGTAGGCCCAGAACCCAAGTTTTCCAGGCTTCAAGGACAGCTCTTGATACACTAAACCACCCTCCCAATCATGAATAATGGAGGGGCGGATAAAAAAGAAATAAGAAAGGTAGATCATAGCAAATGCTCTGGTCCACAGAGCATTTATTTCTCCATCTAACCCTGGGCCAAGATTATATAGGAAACCAACGAGGAAGGGAAAGGAGGAGAAGGGGAGATACTATGTCAAACACTGGAAAGTATGCTCTACGGAGGCATTGACTACGGTAAAAGCACAGACAGCTGGGTAAAGGACAAGAAATGACAGAGTTTGTGGGGTTTACAATAAATAAAGGCTCATTCCCCACTTCATTCATCTACCTGGCTCCTGCATCAACTCTGTCCATTCCTGCAGAATGGTCTTCTATGTAGGCCCACGCCACATTCTAAGCAGTAGTGATGTTCTCCACTGCCCAGAGGGGTTGGAGTTGGACCACGCTCAGCGACCTAAATCTGGGCAGGTCCAAAGTCCCAGGTGCATGCTATACCTAGATTAAAAAATGTTGCCCTTCAGGGATGAGGCTACTTGTCACCCATTTGAGAAATTATGGGCCCCCAAGACTCAACCATGGCTGGGTAAGTCTGTACTTTTCTTTTTTAATCATAAACAACAATGCCGTGAAATTTCAAAATAGAGAGATGGGGGGAGAGGGAGAGGAAAGAGAGGGAGAGAAGGAGAGGGAGAGTGGGAAAGGGAAAGAACAATGACATTCTGCTCTTTAAAATCCAGGCACGCAAAAACTGACACAGAGCAACGGACATTTTGGTTTGAAAACATATCATTGCTTACAAAAACAACCATCAATATTTTAAACACAAGCAACAACCTGCTGCAAGCCAAAAAAAAAAAAAAAAGGCTCAAGTCTGTAAGACAGAATTAGGAAAATATTTACAAAACTGTCGTCAGAAATTGGTCTTCCGTACTTGCCAAGGCTTTTCAAAAGTGCCTTTTTGCCTATTAGGCCAGACACACATTAAAACACTTCTTCACAGCATCCCTACAAAGAAGGCACAAACAGAAACATAAGTATTCCAACACAGAAATGAATCTTCAATTTCCCATACTCAGTAGAACCTCTTTATTCCCCTTCAAGAAATGTGAGGCAATGTAAAAATAATTGTTAAAAAAGTACAAACGGAGGGAAACCAAGAAGCTTTTTAAGATGTACCTTGTACTTTAAGGAGTAAGTAGTAACCTTACTACAAGCCCCAAGGAAATCAATCCTCATGGACTTGCTTCACTCCACGCTACTGAGAGAGACTTCTCAGGGGACTGACAGCAGGTCTCTCTTCAGAGTCATTGTGGTCATTAGCTCAAACATTCTTTCTCCAGACACTAAACACAGCTTCATGCTTTACACAGCGATCATAATCCCTCTACTCGATGCAGCACAAAGACTGTTAATTCCCTGATCTCCTTCCTTCTATGTGGCCCCAGTCTTTACTTCTATTAAAAATGCTGGTAGCAGGAGGAGAGATAAGGGGAGACATTTGTAGCTGAACAGGCTTTAGATTCAAGAGCATATGGCTTAGGGTTGGAAGAGGGCTCACAGTTTATTTATTCCAACCTCTTCATTTGAAAGCCCTCCATGAATGTAGACTATATCAAGTAATATGGTGGGTCACAGATAATTTATGAATTTAGAGATTTCTTTTTATTTTTAAATCTTTCAGCTCCATTCCCACCATTGACAATTACATATATATATATATATGTTTTCATATATTCTATATATATACATTTATACATTTTATACACATATATATGAAATGTATAAATGTATATATATGAATATATATACACACACATATACATACATATACATGTGTGTGTGTGTGTGTGTGTGTGTGTGTATGTAGGAAGATGGGTAGAAAATATATCCAACTTTTTGGTAACAGATCAGTAAATGTTAATCCAGAATAAATTCAAATTCCTAGAGAATTATGCAAAGACAAGGAATTTGGCCAGGTTGATCACTATCAAATAGGGAATGCAGACCTGGTGTATATCTGCTTATTATTAGATACGGAAGCTGATTTCTTGTATTTAATAAAGTTTTTCCTTTGATGTAATTTCCTGACTTTTCTAAGTTCCCCACAGATATATTTAAATACATTAAATACATTTAAGTATTAACTTAGCCAACCTCCACAGGGAATGAACTGTGGCTACCCCATGTCAAAGACTATCACTGTTGTCATCATTAGTTAGGGCTTATTTCAAACTAATGGTTCTATGCAGAGCCACCCAGTTCTCTTAATGTTTATATAATGTAGACACTGCTCATTCCGCAGGTTGGATACTAACAGAGCCTGAAAGCAGTGGTAGAGGGGTGGGTGTCACATGGCAACCTCTGACAAAAATCTTCTTCCAACATATGCAGACTCTCTCATCTTATCACTATTATCTAGGAACAATACTTATTTGGACAACAGTAATATTGGAAAAGGTTTGGTGATTATAGGTTTAAGTTTTAAAAGAGAGAATAAGGAATAAAGATCATAGGTGCTAAAACTTGAGATGTCCAAGGACATAAATGCCTATTTACACTGTTTTAGTACCAAAACTTTAGAGATGGAAGGCAACTGGGGCCTAGAGAGGTAAAATAATCAGCCCAAGGTCATACAACTATTCAATGTACAAGCCGTAGCAAGAATACAAATCTGCCAATACTCAACCCAGTGCTATTTCCAGTTAAAAGAAATTTTAAGAAATAGTTTTCCACTATTGGTATAAGGAAGAAAGAAAGAAAAATCTATAGAGATTCTTCCATCAAATCCTCAATAATACTAATGATCTACCTGCTTGAAGAATATTCACTGAAGTATGGTATTTTTAGAGGGATATAAAGCATTAATATTAAATGTACTGAAATAAAACTGTATTGAATCTTGATTACCTTGCAAATGGTATGTAGGAAAGACTGTACCTAGAAGGAAAGAAAATATTCAAATCAAAACGAAAGTCCTGATCTCTTCACTGAGAGTATATAATGTGCCCACACTCCCTTACATCATTGCCCTTGTGTCCAAAGGCACATACACACTGGCAAATCGTTGGCCAGCAATAGGACGCTCATCTGTGACCACATAATAGAACAAAGGGGAGGCCACGTGGAGGCAAATCCTATGACTCTAACCTTGTCAGCATAGTACTCTACATAAATGAACTAAACTACAAAGCAACAAATTTCTAGTCAATGAAAAATTTTAGGTGATTGAAAGGAATACAAGACTCAAAATATTCCAAATTTTAAAATCTTTCCCATTTCATTCATATGAGTGTGTATATATGTGTATACATAAACTTTATTTTGTCCTTTTGTATAGATTCAATTTTATTTTGATTTTTGGTGCTCATAGTACCTGGAGGTTTCTGAACAACCTATATGCCTTTGACTTCCTCCATTTCTTAATTTTGAATGCACACATTCTCATTCTGTCTGTCTTTCCATATGTGTGTATGATATATATGTATATACATATTACATAACATGTATACTATATGTATATAACATATAATATGGATTAATGTGTGTACATGTGTATATATCATGCATGTATGCACATACGTGCATGTATATAATCTCTATATTATATACATATCTTGTAATATGTGATGTGTATAACATAGATATGTGTGTATTCATATATATATAGATATATGTATATTCATGTATGTGTGCTTATATACATAACACATATATATTATTCATGAATCTTATATACAATGCATGTGATGTGAGTAATATAGATTAATGCATGTACATAATACATGCATGCATGTACATACCCACATGCATATCACACCTATATTATACCTACATCTTATATATTATATACATATACTATACATGTTATAAAATATATGTGTATAAAATCTATATTTGTGTATGCATACAGAGAAAAAAATATATGGATAAAACATGTTTATGTATGTATATATGTATATAAAATATGTATGTTTGTACATACAACATTACATATGTTACAATGTAACATAAAATATTCATGTGTGTATACATATACACACATACACACATACACACATATAGAGAGAGACAGAAAATAAGAATATGTGTGTGTGCATTCAAAATTAAGAAAATGGAAGAGGCCAAAGGCATATAGGTCATTCAGAAGCCTCCAGATATGATAAGCACTAATAATCAAAAGATAAAACTGACACTATACAAATGAATAAAGTCCAGTTTGTTCTCAACATGGGAATCATTTCAGAATCAGTAGCAAGGTCAGACCATTGACTGGGGAGAAGGATGGCCAAAATAACACCAAATTAAAAGAAAAGGTAAAGATTTAATGGATTGTGAACAGTCACAAACCAACCTACGTAAATAAGAACTCACTTTGAAAAAAGGCCAAAAACAAAAAGACAATGCCTCCAAATATTACCATCTTTTTGAGAAGTTTGATGTTAAAAAAAAAAAAGCCACCACAATGGGGAAACTAAAAAGGGCCAGAAATTTTCTGAGCAGGTAAACATTCAATCTCATTACTACGTAGAGAAACACTGATTTAGAGTACTAGTTCATCTGCAAAACATTGCAGGGAACAATAAGAGAATATTACAGGCCATACAGCCTCACAAAACAATGAAAAGTCATTAAGGGGTTAATAGCTGTCCATAAGTGAGGGGCAGTGCCAGCAATTAAAGACCAAAATTCCAAATGAAAGTGGTACAAGATCCCCTTGCTGTACCCCATCAATTTGACACAGTGAAGCCAGATGTTCATTGCTTTTCATACCCCACTCTCTGCAAGTACCTTCTTAATCCTCCTACTTGACAGGTATTGACTTTTATCTCCTTAAGCTACATTAACCCAGAAATGCCAAAGCTTGGGTGGAGGTAAGACAGAAGTATTGTTTTAAAATGACTATCTTCATCTCTCCCCCAACACCTACCCCAGGACTCTACAAAGAGTAGGCACCTGATACATGATTATCACTTGAAATGATGAATAATGTTACTTACCACGTCAAGGCCAAAGACTGCAAAATGCAGAAAAGGAGAGCGAGTCCTTTGTTGTGCCACTGAAAGAGAAAAAAGTAATTATGTTTTAGGTTTTTGTTTCTAATAAGTCGGCAACTGGCATTAGTCAGAGACTGGAAGGAAAGAAAGCCATACTCACCCAGAAGGCAGAACACAGAGTGAGGGCAAGACACAACTAGAGGGGAAAAGGGAGATGTTCATTAAAATTATTAAGAAACAAAAAAGCAAAATTTAAGTTTTACATATCAAGGACTTTAGCAAAACAAATACTTCACATATAAAAAAAGAGTAGACAGTTAAAAGTTTGCCTTACTCTGGGTGATCTTTTACTCTAATCATAAAGGCTCCTCCTTCCCATTTTGAAACTACATCTATCTATCATTCCTAACAAACGTACAATAGCACAATTCAGGCCTCATAACCTTACCACCACCATGCCCCAAAGTACCTTTCATTTCAAAGAACTGAACACATACATGTGAGAGAAGAGTTAGAGTCAGATTGGCTAGCAAAAAGTCATATTATTTAGAAAGAAAAAAGGCCTTTCGGACCATCAAAGCCCATCTGTAGTCTGCTACTCTGGCAAAGGGCTAAGAAACGCCGTCCCACAAACAAATATAATCCTCTTCTCAAAAACACATTTGCATGCAAAGTCCTTCTAGCTTAAAAAAAAAATGTCTCCTAAGTAATCAAGTCTTGAAGGAACATGTGTTGACATCAAACTCGTCACACCTTAAAGAGGTAGAGGGATCTCAGTTAGAGGGATCTCAGTTTGCCACCAAATGGTTTCCACAGGCCTCTGAAAGCCATCTTCAAATGAGACTTGTCTGGGTCAGACAAAGAATGACCAGGAAGACCTGATACGTATGAATTCAGTCACCTATGTCCCCTCCCTCCTGGGATCTTAAGGTGTGTTATTCCATAGTGCATGTCTTATAGTGTGCTAAATGATACAACAAATATAGATGTAGGGTGGCGCAGTGGATAGAGAACCAGCCCTGGAGTCAGGAGGACCCGAGTTCAAATCCAGCCTCAGACACTTGACACTCACTAGCTGTGTGACCCTGGACAAGTCACTTAACCCCATTGCCTAGCCCACCCCCTAAAAAAAAAAAAATATAGATGTAATTATGTCTTTTACTATAGATAACACGAGAATAAGAATGTGCAATAAAACCCAAGCTCTTAGTATCATAGATTTAAATCTGAGAAGGACTTCAGAGATAATCTATACCAATCCCTTGATTTCATAGATGAGGAAACTGAGGCTTAGAGTTATATGGTACCAACAAGAAGTATCACAGGAGTTCAAAGGAGGGAACATTGTAAAGAGATTGGGCTAGATGACTGAAGGTCCCTTCCCTGTATAAATCCTTGGGTTCTAGGTAGTCAGGGGAGGCTTCAGAGTAGAAGTGGTACTTGCGCTGAGCCTGGAATGAAGGAATAGCCAGAGAGATGAGAAGAAGGCACCAAAAGTAGAGGAAACAGCATCTGCAAAGGTGCAGAGAGTATGGAATGAACATGGGGGTAGGGGAGAGAAGGTGGGAAGATGGAGAGAAGGCCAAAGGGTACATTTCAATTGAGAATGAAGAAAAGGAATGCTAATCTTGGGAAACTAGGTGACACCCATAGAATCAATTTTGTATATCTGAAATAAACTACATAGCATCTGGACTGTGTATGTTTTCCTCTTCACCAGAAGGTTGACCCTGCTCTTTTAATTAACCTGTCAGTTAAGAAATTACAATAATGACAGGTATTGCCCTCTGGAGGAGCTCAACAAAAATGGCATTTTTAAAATCACCAATGAACTATTTCCTAAGGTAGTTTGTTATTTGTTTTTTTTTAAACTAGATGAAAAGAAACTATGGTCCTTTACTTTAACATTAACTGTAAGATGGTAGATAGTTCAAAGCAAAGACAAAGAAAAAAAAGACACAAATTACTATTTAAAGAAAAAAAAGTCAGACTGTGCAACAGAATTAAAAACTCCCCCTTCAGAATACCTGTTAAAATGCAATCCTTACCAACATCACAATGGTTGCAATCAGTCGTGTAGGCTCAAACATGCGCTTCAATTGCTTCATTGGTCCCATGAGAAAAATAGTGCTGCAGTAAGCAAAACATATCCTGTCTGAGACCAGTACAGCTAAAGGAACACAATGAACATCATATCATTCTCTTCCCCAACCCCTTCATGACAGACGTCTTCGGGGGAAATCTAATAAAACTATCCCCTCCACAATCACAAGCCAATGTGCACATCAAACCCTCCAGCCACAAAAAGGCTCACATTTTAATAAGCTTGATTACAGTTTTCAGAAGAAATTATCCTTCTCTTACCCTCCTGCCTTTTTTTTTTCCAAAAAGTATTTGAGGTTTGAAAGAGGACAGAGAGAGATTAACTGGCAACTAAGACTGAAACGAACAATGAGACAAAATACAAGGAGATTCTGATAACTTAAATGGGTCCTCCCTGAAACCTGGTGAAAACAGCACCCCCATGATTTTATTACAGTGATTGCTAGAAGTGGATAATGTTCAACATCAGTCAACATTATGGCACCCAACACCAGCCAGAAGCCTTACCTACTCTTCTAAGTGGCCTGTTCTACTGGTCAATTTCATGACTTCCTCTGTTCACTTGATAAACTAAATTTACAATCTTCCCTCAAGAGTGCACTTAATTTACATCTATTACTAAATATTAGCCAGTATATTAACTTATCATTGAAAAATAGAAGAACTACATATGTATGTATTTAGATATACACACATATACATATAGAAATATATACACATAGGAATATATACATACACACACACACATACACAAACACACATAGATTTAAAGTTGGAGGTCATCTAGTCCAAACATCTCATTTTACAGATAAGTAAAGCCCAGTCAATTTAAGTGACTAGCCCAAGATCACACAGGTAGCAACTAGCTGAGCCACATTACAAGTAAATACACAAACACTAGCTGTGTGACCCTGGGCAAGTCACTTAACCCTGTTGGCCTCAGTTTCCTCATTTGTAAAATGAACTGGAGGAGGAAATGGCAAAACCACTCCGTTATCTTTGCCAAGAAAATTTCAAATGGGGTTACAAAGAGTCAGACATGACTGAAAAGACTCAACAATAACACAAACATTACAGATGATTTATTTTATTTTTCCCTAAGTAACAATGAGAGAACAGTCACCTTGGGATTTGACCAGCTCTTCTAGAATTTGGATCAAACACACATTTATAGTCTACGCTACAACTTCAATAACAAATGCGGAGAAATTAAAAAATAAAGCAGTATCCTTTTTGGGGGGGGGGGCTTGCAATGCACAGTCACCTAAGAAAAGAACTACTATAATAGTGCATCACCCAAGGCCTAAGTAATGATGAGAGAAGGCCACAATGTCAAAGTCATTAGTGACCAGTACACCATGTTAAGGCTTTCCCTGCCTGGATGATGCTGAGATCTACAAGTTGAGATGATGATAAAAAGAATAAATAACAATAATACAGTTATCCCTTCCACATCACAGGGCTGAGGGGTGCAGGACCCACACAATCTGGAAAATCCGCATAAAATTTTTTGGCCTTCCTTTTGTATCAGAGAAGAAATCTAAATTATTATGTCATTAAAAGATAAAACAGGTTGATATTATACAACACTATATATATATATCTTATGCATTTCTGAGTTTCTAAACTTCTTCTGTGTTGTCTGCTGGCCTTTGAGTGTCATCTGGGGCTTCTGTAAACTCCCAAAGAATTCCCATTTAGTTTCTTATGCCGACCCATGATATATCAAAGCCTTCACGGAGAAAATCGGGAGATGTGCAAGGGATAACTGTAATATGAGCTTATTGCATACATATGTATATTATATATACATATGTACATTATATACATATTTCCTTCTTATATAAATAGCTGTTATTTAATCTGGAAACATTTATCATCACCTTCATCTTAGGTGACAAATTGCACAACGAAAAGTTGTGCAGAAAGAATGCTGCTGCTTTAGTCATTTTGTGCTTCTTATCTGAGTTATAGTATATGCCATACGTGAACTTGAGTGTGTGTGTGTGTGTGTGTGTGTGATATCAATAGAGAAAACAAACAAGGTGACTCATTTTTTTTTTACTATGTAGGAAAAAAATAAATCAACATCTGTAAAGAACTGTAAGTTTGTGGATAATAACAATAATAATAATATTTACATAGTGTTCACTATGTGCCAGGCACTGTGCTAAATACTTTACAATTTTCTCATTTGATCCTCACAACAACTCTGGGAGATAGGTGCTATTGTTATCCCCATTTTACAGATGAGAAAACTGAGACAAACAGAAGTTAAGTGATTTGCCTAGGATCACACAGCTAGTAAGTGTCTGGGGCTGGATCTGAACTCAGATCTTCTGGAATCCAAGCCCAGCACACTGTACCACCTAGCCACCCATATCTATATGCCTATATGTAGCTGCTGGATATACTTGTAATTTGGATGATTCAAATTTATATATGTGATAATCTCCTACTATTACTAATATCTTTCATTTATATAGTCTTTTAAGGTTTGCAGAGTTCTTCACATAAGTTGAATCAATCTGATTTTCACAAAAACCCTGTGAGGTAAATATCTCATGTACAATTTTTTAAAATTTACTTAAATGTATCCTTTCAATGAATGAAAATCTACCTTTTCTCCTTTTCACCTCCTCCCCCTGCCACTGAAAAAGAAAATACAGTTTGTACCCTGAGTCTCTGTCAGGAGGTGAGTAACATGCTTTATATCATGGATCCTCTAGAACTGAATTTGGTAATTGCACTGCAGCATTAAGTCCAAATTGTTCTCCCGGTTCTGTTCACTTCATCCTGTATCAGTTCATACTAATCTCCCCAGGTGTCTCTGAAGCTGACCCCTAACCCCCACATTGAGCGTTTTTTTATAGCATTACAGCATTATATGCCAAAATTTGTTCCACCATTTCCCAACTGATAGACAATCCCTTGGTTTCCAGTTCTTTGCCAACCCAAAAAGAGTTGCTATAAATATTTTTGTAAATATGGGTCCTTTTCCTCTTTTTTTGATCTCTTTGGGGTAAAGTCCTAGGAGTGCCTGGAAGCACAATGTAGTAACTTTGGGCGGAATAATTCCAAATTGCTTTCCAGAATGGATAGACCAGCTCATAGCTCAACCAAGAATACATTAATGTACTTGTTTTGTCACAGTGCTCACATCTCCCAGCATTTGGCATTTTGTTTTTGTCAACTTAACCAATCTAATGGGTGTGAGGTGGAAACTCAAACTCAAAGTTGTTTTAATTTACATTTCTCTAATTAGTAGTGATTTGGACCATTTTCCCATATGGTTGTTGCTAACTCGGATTCCCTCATGCACTATTATTCTCATTTTACAAACGAGGAAACTGAGGCTCAAAAAAGTTAAATGGCTTGTCCATGGTCATACAAATGCTAAGTTTAGGACCAGACAAGATGAGAAGGTACTTCCAAGAGCAAGCAAAGCACTTTTAAATAATCCAATCACTCTTTAGGTGCAATAAGAAAGAGCAATGCTAGGAATCTTCCTGTGTAGTAACTACAATAATTCAGTTCAACACAACTCGTGTTTTTTAAGTAACTAATATGTGTAAGACATATGCTCCCTACCAGAGAAATAATGGGAAAAAAATAACCTTTGTACTTAAGAATCAAGATACCTGTATTCTACTAGAGAAATTCAACGTACTCACAGAAAAGTAGATATAAGTAATTTGGGGAGTGAGATAACACTACTAATAACCCTAACTCAGATTCATGTAGCATTTTGGGGTTCCTCAGAAAACCCACTGAGATAGGCAACACAAGAGTTATCCCCATTTTACAAATGGAGAAATAGGCGCAGGGATGTTAAATTACCAGACAAATCATTTGCCTTAATGATAAATTCATTCTTTTCATTCTCTACAGATAGACATCTATAAAGATGTAGATAGAGACAGACAGACACATATCTACATATATAGATATATATATAGATATAACTAGAGATGTAGATATAGAAACAGATATAGATGTAGATATAGACATAGATATAGATATATAAAAACAGATATAGAAATAGATAAAAACATAAAAAAAGAGAAAAGATATAGATATAAAATATAAAAAGATAAAAGATATAGAGATAGATATGATGGAAGGTAACAGAGAATGAATACAAATGAAAGGAAAATAGTCCTATAAGAATACTATCAGTAGTGCTAAAACTCAGAATGAGCAAGGTTTGTAATGAATTGTAATGAGGATAACAAAAATGGACTTCTTTTGTGTATTTGTTTTAAATTATGGGGCATAAGGTACCTCATAGAAGGGACTGGACTTTTTGCTTACATGAATTGAATGAATATAAGATCACAGAAAGAAGAGTTTTTATTTTGTTTCTATTTTTTTTTCTAGTAAAAAAATGTTGATGTTTGGACTGGGAAAGGTAGCTCAAAAATGGTCGACAGGGCATTTAAACCCAGATAAGTGAAGAGATAAGAGCACCCAGTGACCTTCACTGATCTGTTGAAAGAAACTGAAAGAGGTGATTACTGAAATTACTGTCAGTGACCCCTGGACAATCATGGAGGAAAAAATGTCGTAGGACTGGAAGCAGGCAAATATTGTCCCTATTTTCAAAAAGGGCAGAAAGTGAAATCTGCAAGTGATAGGTGAACTACAGTGAACTTCCCTTCAATTTCTAGCAAAATTCTAGAGTGTATTATTAAATGGATTGTTTGTGAGTATATAGAAAGAAAAATAGTAGTGACTACTAAGAAGAAATATGGCTTCATTAAGACCAGACTAACTTCATCTCCTTTAATGATAGGGTGAATTCCATTTGGGCAAATGCCAAAGATATAATATAGCTAGATTACAGCAAGGTATCTAAAATCATCTCATATTGTTCTCAAGGTAAAATGGAGAGGTCTGGACTAGATCAAAGCATAATTAAATGGATTCAAAACTAGCTGAATGATTAGAACCAAAGAGCACAAATTAATAGCTCAATGTCAGCTTGGAAGATCTCTAATAGAATGCCCCAATAATGTAATAGGATCACAGATTTAAAGTTAGAAGTGACCATCAAGACCACTCCCAAATCTCATTTTACAGATAAAGAAACTGAGCCACAGAGAGATTAAGTGACAAGCATCTGATTCGGGATTTGAACTCAGGTCTTCCTCATGTCTAAACCGGTGCCGTATTCACTGTGCCATGATGCATTGGCCTCTTGTTTTTTAATTTTTTCAATAACTTGGATAAAAGTGAAAAAGGCAGATGGTATAAACCTGAGATGAGCAGTTAATATATGGTAGATAACAGAATCAGAATGCAGAAAGGTCTCAATAGGCAAGAATATTGGGCTGAATCTACTGAAATTAAATTTAATAGGGAGAAAAGTAAAATCTAGATGCAAGTACAAGTAATCATATGTATGAGTACAAAATGGAGAAGAAAGTGGACCATGTGAAATAAATCTGGAATTTCAATGGGCCTCAAGCTCAATGTGAAACAGTAGGGTAATTTGGCAACTAAAACAAGCCAACAAGAGACACGTTGTCCAGAACAAGGATGGATAGTCCTACCGTATTCTGCCCTGATCAGACCACATCTAGAACACTGTGTTCCATTCTAGGTTTTGCATTTTAAGAATGACAAGGGCCTGCTGGCACATGTCCAAAGAACAGTAACCAGAATGGTAAGGAGGAAAGAAGCATATTTTCGAAAGACTAATTGAAGCAACTGGAGATAATTGGCCTGGAGAAGAAAGGCCTTCAATGGAGACATAATTGTATTCAAGCATCTAAAGAACTATCACGAGGAAGAGAGATTAGACTTGTGTTTCTTGATTTCGGGGGCAGAGCTAGAATGTATGGGAGTAAATCTTACCACAAGGAAATAACTGAAACTCCTAAAAATGACTGAAACTTTGTGGGATGAAACCCATGACTGGAATATGGCTCTGGGTGGGAATTATCTTCTTCAAAAGGTACAAGACAAGTAAAAAGCGGATGGGGGTAGGGTCTCCTTGAACATTAAAAAGGTACGTTAATGTAAGGAAGTGCAGGAATCAAGAAGGAAAAGCAGGTTGTGGAAGATTTGGGTGACGATCAATGTAGGGAGAAACAAACGTGATTTTGCCACTCAAATATACTAGAGACCACCTGGACAGAAAGAAGAAATAGATGAGGAGTTCAGGAAACATTTCATAAGCCTGATACATGATGCAGTAGTGACGGAGAACTTCAATTATGTCGCTATTTGCTGGAATTCTCTACCAAAAGCAGAACAGAAAACAACTTCTTTTGTCTTAATGATCATTTTATCTTTCAAAATGCAGAGGGATCAACCAAAGATATTTCCTGTATTTGTGTCTCACTAACAGGAAGAGCTGGTTGCTGGGGTAGAAATGATGAGAGCCTTTGGGCAAGTGACTATTTCTTCCTAGAGTTTGTGACAGAGAAGGAGATGAGAACCAGGCAAAGTCTGACTTGTACCCTGGATTCAAAGCAGATTTCAAAGGGATCATAAGGAGGAGGAGGAAGCCATGGCCTACAGGGGATCTCATTTCTACAGTGGAAGTTAGCACAGGAAAGATGGCGGACTCCAGAAGGAAAGTCTGAAGACACAATGAGAAACAATTCTAACAAGGAAGAAAAAAGGGAAATCTGTAGGAAGAGACCTATGTGGCTACAGAGATAAACTTATCAACCAACTTAAATTTTTTTAAAAAGGTATGTACAGAAGACAGAATCAAGTCCAAATAATAGATAAAGAATATAAAGTGTGGCACAGTCCAGCAAAAATAGTGTCATGAATTCTAAAGTTCAAGATGAGCTGAGAGGCTGGTGAACAAAGCTAAGGACCACAAAAAAAAGGGGGGGGAGTTGTTTAACTATGTTTAAAAAGATAAAGAAGGAGGCAGCTAGGGGACGCAGTGGATAGAGCACCGGCCCTAGAGTCAGGAGGATCTGAGTTCAAATCCGGCCTCAGATACATAACACTTACTAGCTGCACTAGCTTTGTGACTCTGGGCAAGTCGCTTAACCTCAATTGCCTTACAAAAAAAAAAAAAAAGGAAAAGCAAAAAAAGATTGACCACTGCTTGAGATGAATGGGATAATGACAACAGCACAAGAAAGAAGGCAGAGGCACTCAATAGTCCGTTTCTGAGACAGTACAAAAATTACTAAAAGAGAGTTGATAGCCAAGATAAGTTTAAAAAAAAAATAGTGAAAGCATTAGCAGCCCTTGATGAATTTAAGTCTCCTAGCCCAAATGCACCACATCCTCAGGTACAGAAATGGGACTGCTGAACCAATGGCCATAATGAATGAACATTTATGGAAATGAAGAGACATTAGACATTCTTCGTGAAGGTGAGAGGTTCACGGATATTGCACATTTCGCGTGGTTTCAGACTTTTTCAATCTATTGATTAGTTGTGCCGATTTTCTTCTTTCCTTTTTCTTTCAAAAATACTATTTGTTATATGGGATGGCTTTCTGAGAAGGGGAGGGGGAGAAATACTGGGGAAAATTATCATGATGTAAATAACAAATGAAATCAATAAAAATTTATTTTAAAACATTTTTAACTTAAAAAAAATTTTTTTAAATCATGGAGAACCGAAAAGGTACTGTAGGGGTGGAGAAGAGTAAATATTGTCTTGATTTTTAAAAAAGAGGCCCAGTGACCTTGACTTCTATTCCTGGGTAAATTCTAGAATGGATCAGACACAGTTAATAAACACCAAGAGGAAGTGGTGATTATAAAGAGTTAGGAAGACTTCATCAAGAATGGGTCATGTCAAACTAACATTTCTTCCCCTTTTGCCAAGTTTACTCAGCCTGTTAGATAAGGGGAACGCTACATAGTTCACCTAGATTTTTGCCAAGTTTTTTATATCTGAAATACTGTAGTCAGTCATTAATGGCTTGATGTCAACCTGACAGAAGGTGTCCAGTGGAATGCCTCAGAGATGTGTACTTACCCCGCAGAGTGTTAGCATTTTATCAGTTACTTGGATAAAAACACATGTGGCATACTTATCAAGTTGTCAGATGAAATGATGAGAAGAAACGAGTGTGTTGTTTAGACAGACAGCTAGCCTCCAAGCCAAGAAGATGTATTTTCAAGTCCAGTCTATGACATATACTGACTGTGTGACATTCACTTAACCTCTCAATTCTCTAGGAAACTCAGTAAAACTATCGAGTTGCAGAAAATGTCATGATCTGCATTGGTAGAAAGAGTTTCCTAACCAGGGAGTTCCCTACAGGTCCAGACCCCATCCCTACAAAGCTGAGAGGGACTTTGAATAGTGAACATATTGTATGAGAGAGTCAAGATCCAACAAGACCTTGGCTAAAAAAATGCAGAGGTAAATTTAGATTTGATATGAGAAGAAACTTTCTAACAATTAGAATTAGCCGTAAACAGAATCGGCTGCTTTCAAGAGTGAGTGGTTACTCCTTAACTGGCAATATTCAAGCTGAGACTAGATGACCAGGCCTGCTGTAGGAAGACATGGGTTGGCCTGGACGGACCAGAAGGTCCTTTCCTACTCAAACTCTGTGCAGCCGCAGTCAGATCTACACTAATTGTAAGGAAAAGTAAACAATTAGATCTATCCAAAACTGGAACAGGCCTTCTGGAGAGTGGGTGGGTTCTTTGTTACTGAAGGTATTCAAGTAGAGGTTGAATGGCCACTTGTGGGGATGTTATTATGAAGATTCCTGTTCTTGTACAGGTTGGTCTAAATGACCTCCAAGTTTCCTTCAAATTCTGGGATTCTGCAAACCTATGACTTAACCTCTCGATGCCTCAGTTTCCTCGTCTGCAAAGCAGACATGAAGGAAGGAACAAAGTACAGTGGAAAGAGGGCAATCAGAAAACTGAGGATCTTAGCCCTTGTTCTACTACAACTGGCCAAAAGACCTTGGGATAAGGCTTTTGAAATTTCTGGGCCTGCTTCCTCAGCTCTGTTGACTAGAAGAGTTCCAAAGTATCTTCTTGCTCTTTTTTAATGATCTGATTTCAATTCTATCCACCTCAAAAGACAGCTAGAAAGCTATGCAATATGCACACCCTTTAGATGGTAGCTAGGTAGTATAGTGGAAGTAAAATGGATGTGGAGTCAAGAAAATCTAAGTCTGAAACATCCCTCAAACACTTACTAGCCGTATGACTTAGCAAATCACTTGGCCTTTCTCAGCCTGTTTCCTCACCTGTCGAATGGAGACAAAAATAGCACCTCCCTGGACAGGGCTGCTACAAAGATCAAATGAGATGTACATGTTAAGTACTTGGCAAACCTTAAAACACTGTATCAAAGTAGGAAAAAGGAACAAGCATTGTTAAGCACCTGCTATGTGTGAGGCACTGTACTGAGCACTCTACAATTATCAATATCAGCTGTTATTACTCCTTTAAGTGTTAAAAGCACCATATACAAATAAAGGCTCACTCTAATGCCTTGGAGCAGCTGGGCAGACAGAGTGCCAGGCCTGGAGTCAAGAAGACTCATCTTCCTGAGTTCAAATCTGGCCTCAGACACTTACTGGCTGTGTGGCCCTGGGCAAGTAGAACATAAGCTCCAACATATCAAGTTGGAAAGTCTTTGAATATGGCCCCAGAGACAGACAGTGTGTCTGTCACTGAGAACTAGACCTATTAAGTGTAAAGAGGCTCATAACCAAACAGTTGACTAGTAAGTTCCACATTTCTTTGGCCACAGGAATGAAGAAATTGTCTTTAAGGCACAGACGGAGAGGTTGCCATCTGTATCAGTAAATGCATTTCCATCCCAACAAAACCATGACTCCTTAAGTATTATTCTATATTTGCCAAATCCTTAAAAATGCAAAATCCCCGGTTGAAAACCTTCTTCTCCCCTACCTCTAGCACAACCTAGCTCCAGTTTCTCATTCAGGGACTAGCCAGGTTAGACAAAGAAGTCTGTTACCTCCCAAGTGATGCAATGTTCCCCAAGGTATAAAATGCTGCAAAAAGGACAAGTCCTCTCCGAGGCACCCACAGCATAAAAGTCCCCTAGAATAAGAACAACAGAAAAGGGAAGTGATGAGCTTTCTTAAGGGGACAAAGTGACCAAGGATTTTTGTGAAGGGAAATATTCTGCATATATTTCAATGAACAAATCAGAACTATTAAATTACCTCCACCCAAGGCAACTATTAGTGAAATTTTCTCTCTCTCTCTTTTTTTTAAATCTGTATTAGTAGAATTCGAGTAGGGAAGTATACCACGAGTAGACCAAGGGGCAATCTTACCATCAGTGAGAAGATAATCCCTATGGCAAAACAAGCAGCAAAGCCTTTGATTCTTGTGCCCCAGCTTAATGACGGTGTTTCAATAATCTGAAATTTAAAAATATGTCAATTGTACAAAGGACACATATAAAGAAGTTCCCAAGTAAGGGAGTGGGAGTGGCAAAGAGATAACTTGAGACAAGACTATATTGAGCAAAACTAATTCAATCCAAACATTTACTAATCCAAGTACTATTCCAAGGCAATGGTGTACTTGTGCTCAGGCTCCAGTCCTAAGACCCAGTCTGGGTAGCTTCCAGAAACATGGTCGTAGGGGTGGGGGCCAAGCACAAGCACCCCATCACAAGGCACTCTAGGAGGCTCAGGGAATACCAAGAATTTAATATAATTTTTACCCTAAAAGTACTTGCAGTCCAATAGTGGAGATAAAGCATATATACAAATAAGTATATTACACAGTCGGATGTGACCAGAGAAATCTACACAAAAAGCTCCAAAAAAACTTGAGGAGGAAGAGTTTTCTTTCAAATGGAGGAAGTAGGAGAAATCAGGGATGCCTTCATGGAGAAGGGGGGGAGCTGAAGGGAGCCTTAAGGGGAAGAGAAGGCTTTTAAATCCCTATATAGGAAGTCCCCTCCACTCCTGCCTACTCTGAGTAGGAAATGCTCGAACAGGGAAAGAGACTAAGGGAGTGAGGAACAAAGTCTCTTTACTAAGCTCCTTTTCTCCTTTCCCCCCAGTTCCTAGATAGGAAACATGCAGAAGAAAGAGGAAAATAAGCTAAACATATCCTAGTGGCCAAATCTTTTCATCACAAGGTGAAAGCTACCTGTAGGATGGTTAGAGAAACATATGCTCTTGTACGGAAGTTGCTGGGGTGTAAAAAAGGGCTTTCTAATAATAGTAATGGCACTATTAAACTGACTCATTCTACCCTGAGGTATTTGGTAAAGGGGTCACCAAAAAAATGACTTTGGTAGGGGCAGCTAATTGGTGCAGTGAATAGAGCACCGGCCCTGGAGTCAGGAGGGCCTAAGTTCAAATGAGGTTTCAGACCATACACTTTATACTTACTAGTGTGACCCTGGGTAAGTCACTTAACCCCAATAGCCTCCCCCCCCCAAAAAAAAAGAAAAAGAAATTACTTTGGTAATAAAATGTTGGCCTGAATGTTCATGCCTGAAAAATCAACCATACTGTAGAACCCATTCTTGTTAGAGGCAGCCAACAGAACATTTAAAGTAGAAGAGGCAGCCAAGACTACAAGAGATCCTGGTCAATTAATTACCATACTTGTTTCTCCTGGGTCTTTACCAACTTTTCTATTTCCTTAAGTCAAAGGGGAGGGGACAGCACAAAGGGAACAACTTGTGGGGTAGGATCCACAAGAAGTTGATAGCATCATCTTTATATATCCATATTCTCAGAAGAAATCTCAGGCAAAGCATAGAATAGTGTTACCAAACCACTTTCTAACCTCCAGGGTCTCATGACCAAACAGAAACTGGCCACCATCATTCCAAGCCAGATACAAACTTCAGCTAACAGGAAGCATAAGCCACTGTCACCCTATCAACCTCATGGGTACACATTTTCCAGAGTCTCCATCCATGACGTGACAAGTTCCTGGAGGGCAGATATTGCCTTTTGCCTGTTTCTGTATTCCCAGTGCTTAGCACTGTACCCGGCACATAGTAGGTGCTTAATGTTTATTGAATTGATTATTGAAGGTAGCAAGAATGCCTTCTTGCAGCTGGGACCAGCCCTTACCTCCAGCCTTCTTATTGAATGAGAATCTAGAAGGAGGGGTGCCCAGGTACCCCCAGATGTGGAAAACAATGTCATAGGGTTTAATCTTCACATGGGAGGTAGGTACCTAGATCAGGTGTTCTTAAAAGGCAGCATCTTGCCTATCATCTCTCCTCTGCACACCATCTCACACCCACACTCACACATGGCCCAGAAGATGGCTCGTTACACTGCAACATAAAGCACACCAAAAACTCCATGCAAACAGGCACCCAATGACATGAGAACACGGCAAATAAGACACTCATGGACACCAACATCTGCTGAGCAGGAGGATACTCAAGATGCTTTGCCTTTACGAGGCTAATAAAAACCATCTCTGCATTCAGGAGTTTCTGAGTCAGACCTGAGCAGCCTCTTAAGCCTGATCCAGTGACACTGATCATTAACATGATTTAAGAGTGTCTTTAGACAATTGGGTTGGGCTACTTCTGACTAAGCCTCTTCCCCACCCACCTCAAGAAGAATGACATGAGAAGCCAGTCAGTCATCCATCTTACTCATACAGGAAGTACTCAGCTGAACTTACCTTATCAAGGTGGAAAGAAACACTGGACTGCATGTTGGAATGAAATGATGGAACATGTGATTTAGAATCTATGGATCTACGTTCAAGTTCTGACTATTGTTTATTACCTATGGGACCTTGGCAGAGACACCCCCCCCAGCCACCCACTCCAGGGCTGCTTCATCTGTAAATTGGAGGAATTGGGCTAAATGCTCTCTAAGGATACTTTCAACTCAAAATTCCTATGAATATTTGATTATTAGCAGAGTCAGTGGGTCATTTTTGCAGGACAAATCATTAAATTATGACTGAACCAAAATTTAAGGAGCTCCTAGTACTAAGACTATAAAACAAACTAAACACATAAGTCACGGTTTAGACATGTTCTGGCTCATTATTCCAAATACTTTACTGAAAGGGCTTTTGTCTTTAAGTTCACCCTATTGTAAGGGTCTGTCACCTACAAAAAGGGAAATGATACTTCAGGTTCTTTTCAGAGTCTCACTTTTAAATAATTTTTAATGATCATTATTCCCTTTCACACCCTTACCCCACTCCCTCAAAAAAGACAGGGGCACTGTACCCAAGCCCTGTGAAATGTACGCTTCACACACTGGTCTAAGTGGTGTGCAGTTGTATCTGGTTCTACATAAACTCAGTGAAACCAAAGGACCTTTTGGTAGAACACTGGGTCTCCCTATCTCAGCCAGCCTGGAAGTGCAGCTCATGAGGCTGATTTCACTTCTGATGGTCGGGAAAGCTTTCACCTGCTCCTTTTCCAACATGGGCCCTATTTGACCTGCTTTAGGAAGTCTGATGCCACATCACCCCTCCCATGGGGGGCTCACAGCATCAATGCTGAACTTAGGGTGGACACTCAAGCAGCTTTAGGCCTACTGAAGCTCAGAAGTTCCAAGCTCAGCCATCGGTGCCCAGAGATTATAGACTCGAACCTGCACTCAGTTCCACTTAGGGCAGGTAGGTGGTAAAGTGCATAGAATGGTGGGCCTACAGGTAGGAAGACCAGCCTTCCTGAGTTCAAATCCGGCCTCAGACACTTACTATGACCCTAGGCAAGTCACTTCATCCTGTTTGCCTCAGTTTCCTCATCTGTAAAATGAGCTGGAGAAGGAAATAGCAAACCACTCTAGCATCTTTACCAAGAAAATCCCAAATGGGGCCATGAAGATTTAGCCATGACTGAACAACAACCACAATCCTCACTCAAGGCTACAAACACCTTTTCTTGCAAATCTTCAAAAACTTGCTGTAGACTGAATTCATTTCAAATGGCTGGTCTCCCACATAAGGCCAGATAGAGTATATCTGCTAATACACTTTCTTGAAAACTGGAACTGCTGAAACTCAGTTAAGCACTTTTTTATGTGTAATCTTCGAAGACCGGTATTTGAATACAAAAGATTCCTTTAGACTTTGAGACAGAGGGAGGGAATTGATGAGTTTCTGTTCAAAGGAAAGGAAAACTAAGAATTGTTGAGGAAAGTGCTGGCAACTAGGAAGCGAGGGAGAAATACTGGACTCTTCCATGTTTCCAGAACATTTTAGAGGAAATGCAAGAACATTTTTGGAACCAAAAGTCTGACATTTATTTGTAAACCTCAAAGTCTGTATTTTGGATTACACTGCATTACGTACATTACATGCACAATGTTAAAATTTTAATTGCTAATTCACAACTGCAGGTGACCCAAAGGGCAAGAGACACATGGTGGATATAAATAGGCTGTGGTACACTGGCTATGATGACATTTTAAAGAACATGCATAAAAGGAAAAGGAAGTGAGGGCTGGTCCCAATTATGGATAAAAGATAATAACAGATGGAATTTCCCCTGTTGCAATGGTATCAATAGACCATTAAAAGAACAAGAGTCAGATAGTCCAGAAGTGGGCAGCTAGGTGGTACACTGAATAGAGTGCCAGACCTGGAGTGAGAAGGACTTAATCTTCCTACCCTCAAATCTGGTCTCAGACATTTACTAGCTGTATGACCCTGGGCAAGTCACTTAACCCTGTTTGCCTCAGTTTCCTCATCTGTAAAATGAACTGGAGATGGAAAGGGCAAACCACTCCAGTATCTTTGCCAAGAAAACCCCAAATGGGGTCATGAAGAATCAGACACAATTGAAATGACTGAACAACAAAAACCTCCAGAACACTGGGTGAATTTTAGGGTAACAGGCCTAAATCTTCATCTCTAGACCCCTTTACGCCCTTAAAAATTATTGTCGGCCCAAAGAGCTTTTGTTTATGTGGTTAATATCTATCAATATTTACCATATTAAAAATCAAAATTGATAAAAATTTTAAATACAGCTGGGTTATCTTATGCTCCTTCTGCATTCAATCTGTGGCAATATGAAAAAACTTTACACATTATCTCATAGTGGACAGAGCTATGAATTTGAAATTAGAAAGACCCTAATTGTTTTGGTTGAACTATTTGAAGAAAATCCAGTCCCATACAGATACATAGTCAGAAAAAGGAAGAGTATTATAATAGGCAAATAAGATCTTAGCATTATTATGAAAATAGTTTTGACCTTCTGGACCCCAGGAAAGTGTCGTCAGGACTCCCCCAGGAGTCTTCCAACCACACTTTGAGAACCATTGGCATAAAAATAATAACAACAACAACAATAAATAATAAAAATGTTTATATAGAACTTTAAGGTTTAAAAAGAACTTTACACATTATCTCATAGTGAATAGAGCGATGAACTTGAAATTAGGAAGACCCTGGTGCAAATCTCACCTCAGACCCATATTGTGTGACCTTAGGCAAGTCACTTAATCTGAACCTCAGTCTCCTCATCTGGAAAACAGACATACCATAGTACCTACCTCCTAGAATTGTTGTGAGGATCAAATAAGGTAATGTCCATACAGTACTCTGCAAACCTAAAAGTACTACCTGAAGGTCAGAAATTCTCCTTACCCTCTATAGATGATTTATGGAAAGACAAGAAGAGTCACCCAAGATGAGTGGTACCTGTAACATGCCTGGTGGCACAAGATCAGAGTACTGAATTAATCTACAATAATTTACTTCATTGAGTGGCCACCTTCTTCTCTTTCTTAAGGGTTTATAAGAGCCTATTTTTCATGCTCAGATGGGTGATATGGTAGGTAAAGCGTTGGATTTGAAGTCAAGAAGACTTGAGTTTGAATCCTGTTTCAGACATTTACTAGCTCTGTGACTTTGGATAAGTCACTTAACCTCTCATTGCCTCATTTTCTTCATCTGTAAAATGGAGATAATAACACTACTTCCTAGGGTTGTTGTAAGGATGAAATGAAATAATAAATGTAGTCTTAAAGTGCTATATAATACTAGTTATTATAAATATTATTTCAAAGACAATTTTTTTTATTTTTTTATTTTTAGCTAGGCAGTGGGGTTAGGTGACTTGCCCAGGGTCACACAGCTAGTAAGTGTTATGTGTCTGAGGCCGGATTTGAACTCAGGTCATCCTGAATCCAGCGCCGGTGCTCTATTCACTGCACCACCTAGCTGCCCCAAAAGACAACTTTTAAAAGAGAAATTTAAACCCATATTCATTAGGATGAAAAAAATATTGAAATATTCATCATAAGGGTCCCTGAGATTTTTCATTTCAATGAAATTTTTGCAACTACATAAGATCTAGTTTAGAAAAACTTATAGAAAGTTATATTTTTACCATTAAAAAAATCACAATCAGAACAGGAAACAAGGAGGGGGGTAGGGTGAGAATCATGTTTCCCGTTATTCTGCTTACAGAGTGAAAAAAAATATGCAATGACATTTTGTAGAAACAGACTTTAGAGCTGGAAGAGATATTTCTCAAGGTGAAAGCTGGGAGGAACTTCAAAGAACATTCAGTCCAACTGCCATTACACAGATGAAGAAACTAAAACCTAGAGATGTAAACTTTCTCAACCAGGATGCATAGCAGATTACTAGCATGCATAGTTCCAGAATTCAGACCTCCAGACTCTTGGTTCAAGGCTCTTTCTCTCTAAGACATGAAGTCATCTGGTTCAACCTCCCATCAATACCAGCCTCCCTTCCTTTTATCATTTGTAATGTCTGAATTTCTAAAAATCTGATAAACCATAAAAAGTAGGAACAACATTTTTAAAGGTCATGATCTAACAAGCCCCAACAAAACAAAACCCTACCTAAAATGAAACTAGCCAATTGTGAAATACTTTCCACAAACAGATTCTTTAAGGTCAATATTGATACAAAGACACCTCTTCCAAAATAGCATGTCACATTCTGAAAAGGAAAAGTGGTAACAATGTTTTTGCACAAAAAAAAATTTTAAATTGGCTTATTATTCTCAATTATTCTCTTTCTTCTATTTCACTCCACCACGCACAGGATTACCTTACACATTGCTTTGCACAGCTTTTGAAACTATCTACTCCACAAATGCTTGTTGACTATGTGGTACAGTGGAAAGAGAAATGGACTTGGAGTCAAAAGTCCTGGGTCCAAGTTATACATAGTGACCCTGTGACCCTGGGCAAGCCACAATCTACATATCCCTCAGTTTCCTAATCTGTAAAATGGGGAAAATAGTTTCACAACTCATGGAGTCATGAAAAGCAAACAGGATAAAATAGGTAAAGTGTTTTGCAAACCTCCAAGTACCATGCAAATGTAAGCTCTTCTTATTAAAAATACTATCATATGACTACCTCTGGCACTGAATATGAGCGACTTCCTCTGGGTCAATGTGAATTTGGATGTGAGATATCA